TATTAAGATAAAAACAAAGAAATAAAAAAAATTAACCAAGGTTTTATAATTGTTAAACTTTATAAAATGAGTATAATTGTTTTCTTGAAAAAAATTGAAATATTTATAAATTTTGGTTTGAAAAAATAAAGTATAAAAAAATTAAAATAAATAATAAAGAAACTCAACCTTTAAGTGTTATTTTATCAATTGATTTTATTTTTATTAGGTTAATAAAATTAAATAACAAAAATAAATTAAAAATTATAAAATATAATTCATATTCAAGTACCGACAAAAATATATTATTTCATTAAAATTTATTGAAATAGATCAAAATTAACGAAAATAACTTATATTACCTGATATTAAATTTGATATAAAAGTTATTTTTAAATATATCATATTTTGATATAATTAAAATATATCGATCGATACATTGGTATCAAAATAAAATTAATAATTATAAGTCTTATGCAAAAAAAAACTATAGTACTGCTCAATGCTGAATATTTTAAAATAAACAAAGTGTTAATGAATTTGGTCTTAAGTTTTAACATTTTTTATGAATACAATAATTTGTATATTGATATTATATTTATTTTATATCAAATATGTATATAATATAAAAATTATTTTATCATAATTTATATTTATATATTAAATATATAATATATATTTTAATTTTTATTAATTATATATATTTTTTAATTTTAAATTATACATTTTTATATATTTTTCTTGTATTATATTTGAAATGGTTAGATTTAATTTTTTTTAAACTATTTCTTTAGAAAATTTGAAAACAAGAAATTCAAGGATATTGTACGTTGAGTCAACTAAAGAAGCAGGCAAATTCCTGTCCGGTGCAGCAGTTTGTCAAATGTTTGGTTGGACGTAGTATAGGTGGCAGGTTGTCACTGTACAAAGATTTAATTGTCCAATTAATGCTACTGACTGCAGTAGAAAGAAAGGAAAAGCTCAATCAATGAGAAAGCCCAACAGTCAGCCACCAAAATAGAAGTCAACTACTTAGTAAGTCATATACGCATATTCCTCGCCACGTGAGTTTGAAAAATTAGCTGAACATTTATTTTGCTGGGGTTTATCTTTGCAGATTTGGACCTCTTTTTTTTTTTTTTAAAGTATTATGTCATTTCAACTTCAATTAAAGGTATAATTAACGTGCACAACACTGTTTACGACAAATCATAGTAAGTATAAAACACGAAAATTTGATAAAATCTTAATTATAATATCATATTAAAATTTAATTGAATGAAAAATTAAAATTAAATATAAAATTACAAATAATTTTAAACTTAACAAAAATAAATAACATCATTTTAATAATTATAAAACCTTTTTTTAATTAAGTTATTTATTAATCAAGATTAATTATCAAACCATACGAATTTCACTTAAGAACATAATAAAACGCAAAAATTATGGTGTGGCCTACTCCATCAGTATAG